GGAGGTACAGAAAGAATAACCCCCACCAAACAAGCTGCTGAGAAATGAAAATAAATGAATCCAATCTAGAGAAAGACAATGAATACAAGACTCTGAGACAAATATGGAGCCAGGAGGCCTTGGAATGTAACAGAAGGGTTTCACACACACACAAAAAGGCCCAGAAGCGGGAAATAATGACTAATCTGACAGATAATGAAAGAGGTAAATTCTGAGGAGAGACTTGTGAACCTGTATCGCACCATTTAATAAACACTATTACAGCATGTGAGAGTTGGACATTAAATAAGGAAAAGCGAGGAATCATCAATGCTTTTGAATTATGATGCTGGGGAACAATATGAAAAGTCCCATGGGCTTCCAAGGGAATGAACAAATCTGTCTTAAAAATACAGCCAGAATTCTCCTTCGAAGCAAGGATGGCAAGACCTTGCCTCACATCCTTTGGACATGTTATCAGGAGAGACCCGTCCCTGTTCGGGAAGGTCGAGGGGCATTGAAAAGAAGAAGTCCAGCTACAAAATGGACAGACACAGGGGCAGCAATGGGCTCCCCCATAAGAATGATGGTGAGGATGCCACAGGCCTGGACAGGGCTTCCTTCTGCGGCACCATCTGGGAACCAACTAAGTGGCACCTATTATCCACAACATTACATTAAATAATCAATGATGTTCTCTGCCCCAAATAATGAGAAAAATACAACATGCACTGTTGCAAATTCAGAAACATTCCTCTGCTTCAATTTAATTTAAAATATTCATGACCTCTGTTTCATTGAAGGAAGAAGGTAGGATAAGCTATTGGGTGGTTTGATAAGTACTTAAAATTGTGAAAATAAAATTGATTAGCTGAAATTTCAGCTCCACCTCCTACACATTAGAAAAATATTCATAAAAACTTGTTTTGTGACTACAATAGATGTGCACACTCCTAAATTTTATAATTAGGTGCCTTTGGAGAATAAATTTATGGTGGAAGAACTATCTTTTAACACTTGACCAGTTACAGTAAGTTTTATTGCTCTCCTAAACCATGGGTAAAATACAGCATATATCAAAGGATTTAGAGCAGAGTTATAATAACCAAACCATGCTAATATTTCATAGATATAACCTGGAGTCACAGAGCCCAAAATAGAATCAAAAAATGAGTCAATCATATATGGTAACCATGAAATCATAAATGCTACCACAGTGACCCCCAGGGTCTTGGCTGCTTTTCTCTCTCTCTTGGCCACTCTGGCTTTGTAACTCTCTGATGAGGATTCTGAATTGCTAACAGTGGCTTCAACCTTTTGAGCCTGTTTTCTAGCCACAAGAAAAATCTTACTGTAAAGAATTATCATAACTAGAGTAGGTATAAAGAATAACAAAAAATTTATCAAAAACCAGTCTTGATTTATAACTACTTGACAACCACCTACACAGTTGAGAGCAAGAGATAATTCCTCCATACCAACATCATTCACTCCTGTGTAGAACACGGCGCCGCTGTACACAACGGGCAGGATCCAGGAGATGCCGATGCACATTCGGGACACAGACACAGTGAACTTGGTCGGATAGACCAGAGGGTCAGTGACAGCGATGTACCTGTCGATGGAGATGAAGCACAAGTGGAAGAGAGAAGAGTAGCAAAACGCCACATCAAAGCAGCTGTGAATGGTACAAAACTGGGCCCCGAAGTACCAGCAGCTCTCCACAGACCTGACCAGGCTGAAGGGCATCACGGTCGCACCCACTAAAAAGTCAGCACAGGCCAGGGAGGCGATGAGGAAATTGGTTGGAGAGTACAGCTGCTTGAAATGTAGGACTGAAATGATCACCAGCAGGTTTCCAAACACTGCGAGCACAGCCCCAAAGCCAAAGACCACGTACAGAAGCACGCGGGGTCCGGGTGAGTAGGGAGACTTGACACAGGATCCGTTCACGTTCTCATAGCAGAGCTGCACGGGGGCAGCCGGGAATGCACTGCTGCTCACAATGCTGTTGTTTACATAGAGAGACATGTTGAACTTGTCAACCACACAAAACAAAGCAGTTCCACATTTCCTGAAGGGAGAGAAAAGATCCTCTAAAATACCAGAACCATGAGCTGTCACACAATCTTTTAAAATAATAACTACAGACTATATGGAATGATCAAAAAATTAAATCAAATGTCTGATAAATATCATTACAAATAATTATAACCACTATTATTCTTTTTCTTAAAGGAAATGTGCTGATCGGGGTGAATACCCTCACCTGATATCTGTGGTCTGAAATCACCAGACTTGCGGAATTCAGTAAAGATTTATAGCCTTCCCTGTGGGGAAGCTCTATTCTGTTGAATAAAGTTGCTGTAATCAGAATCCACTGAAGTGGGTTTGCTTTTTATACTTCAGAATATTTTGTGCATAAGATTTTGAAAACCCAACAAGAATTTAATCTGAAGTAAATAGTTTGCAAAATTATTATTACCACAAAAAAGTCTTTGGCTTTCCAATTTATCAAATACTTTTTGTTACCCGGTCTTAAAAAAAATAGTGTATTGGAATAGAATTCACATATCAGATATTCAATAGTTTAATCATTGCTACCTGCTCTTGTGCCTTCAATGTTTGTCTTTGCAATAGTGGGTGAGATGTGATGGCTTTGTTTTCTGCTACCTTTTATTACCCTCAACCCCTTAGAAAGGCTGTTGAATTAATAACCAAAGCCCCTAGGAGACAGAACAAATCCCATGTCAAAATGCACTCAAGTCGAAGGTGTGAATACTAACCCCCAAATTAAATGCATTAACCTCCACTTGAAAAATAATGGTTGTGTTTGTTCTTGTCTTTCAATTTTATTAACTGAGATTAATACATAAACCAAATCATCCCATAGTTCTGCTGAATTGTACAATTATTACCACAATCAGTTTTCAGACATTGTCTATATGGACCCCGTGAGGTCATCACCCCTTCACCCCACCATTAGCTATATGGTCACCCCTCTCTCCAAGCCTTTATTGTACTTTCTGATTTTATAGATTCATCAAACACCAAAAAATGAAACACCAATTACTACAACTTCATGATGGTGACCCCAATGAGAAATATAATGTTTGCTGTAAAAGAAAATCCAAATTAAAACCCCTAAAGACAGTATTTTAAAAAACTGATTACATTATCACTCACAAAAAATGTGGTAGTTATAAACAAATATTTCTAAAGGGCATCCAGGAATACATACAAAAGATGATGCAGCACGAATTAAGTCTGCACAGAGGAGAGAGTTTTATTTTAATGTGGCAAAACTAAAAAGTACATTCTCTACATTAAGAGAGCAACACATTAAAATTTCAAGAATACCTGATGAAATACAGGAAAGGTCATTTGTTAAAATCCAATACGGATTCTTTATTTAAAAGAATAGCTCTTTAGTAAACGAAAATTAGAAGAGATCTCCTGTTTAGATAAACAACACACACAACATATGTGACTCTTCATAGTGACACTTGGAAGCACCCTTTCCAGATCCGCGGCAATGCCAAGATGTGTCAAATATCAGACAAAAAATGGGGCATGAGTCCTCCCAAGAAAACCATAAAGCTAAATGAAGTTCACTCATTCATCTATCCAACTTAACCAATTGTTATGAAACTATTTGCATCAAGTGCTTGAATATAAAAACATATAAACAAGGAATATCTTCTGTCTTTATTTGTTCTCTATGATAATAGGCAGATATAAAAATGTAAGAACATGATGACTTCAAGCTAAAGTCAGCACATTTATAGAATTGAAAGTCAGAGGCTCTCTGCTCCTCCTCGTGGGCTCTCTGCTCCTCCTCGTGCGACAGACAGCCGCCTCTCCCGTGCAGTCCCAGCCGCATCCCGAGACACGATGGTGAAGGTCGGAGCGAACGGATTTGGCCGCATTGGGCGCCTGGTCACCAGGGCTGCTTTCAATTCTGGCAAAGTGGAAATTGTTGCCATCAATGACCCCTTCATTGATCTGAACTACATGGTCTACATGTTCCAGTATGATTCCACCCACGGCAAGTTCAATGGCACTGTCAAGGCTGAGAACGGGAAGCTTAACATCAATGGGAAGGCCATCTCCATCTTCCAGGAGCGAGATCCCACCAACATCAAGTGGGGTGAGGTCGGTGCTGAGTATGTCGTGGAGTTAACTGGTGTCTTCACCACCATAGGGAAGGCTGGGGCTCACTTGAAGGGCGGTGCCAAAAGGGTGATCATCTCTCCCCCTTCTGCTGATGCCCCCATGTTTGTGATGGGCGTGAACCACGAGGAGTATGACAACTCCCTCAAGATTGTCAGCAATGCCTCCTGCACCACCAACTGCTTAGCCCCCCTGACCAAAGTCATCCATGACAATTTTGCCATCGTGGAAGGACTCATGACCACAGTCCATGCCATCACTGCCACCCAGAAGACTGTGGATGGCCCCTCTGGGAAACTCTGGCGTGATGGCCGTGGGGCTGCTCAGAACATCATCCCCGCATCTACTGGCGCTGCCAAGGCTGTGGGCAAGATTATCCCGGAGCTGAATGGGAAACTGACTGGCATGGCCTTCCGTGTCCCCACCCCCAATGTGTCTGTCGTGGATCTCACCTGCCGTCTGGAGAAAGCTGCCAAGTACAGTGACATCAAGAAGGTGGTGAAGCAGGCGGCCGATGGTCCCCTAAAGGGCATCCTGGCCTACACTGAGGACCAGGTTGTCTCCTGTGACTTCAACAGTGACCCCCACTCTTCCACCTTTGATGCTGAGGCTGGCATTGCCCTCAACGACCACTTTGTCAAGCTCATTTCCTGGTATGACAATGAATTTGGCTACAGCCACAGAGTGGTGGACCTCATGGTCCACATGGCCTCCAAGGAGTAAGAGCTCCCCTGGACCACCAGCAACAGCGCTAGAGGAAGAGAGAGAGGCCCTCAGCTGCTGGGGAGTCTTTGCCCCTAATTCAATCCCCCAACACACTGAGAATATTCCATCCAGACCCCTGAAGGAAGGGGAGGGGCTTAGAAAACTCGACCTTGTCATGTACCATCAATAAAGTACACTATACCCAGAAGAAGAAAAAAAGAAAGTCAGAAATGTCATGTGATCAGCTCCCATGGCTGTAATTGCATGAGACGGAATCAGCAAGGAGGGACTGTAGATCCAATGGAGGAGGAGGAGGGGAAGGGGTTGAGGTAAAGAACAGGAGACTGCAGAATGGTGCACTGGCATTTAGATCACGCTGTTCATAAATTAGCAGATACAATGTGGACATGAGAATTGAGGAAAAAATAGTAAGTGAGAAACTGAACTGAAATACAGGTGAGACGGAATGTTTTCTTTCTTTTTTTATAACTGAGCTCTAAATCTCTTATGAATTACTACCTGATGGTATGCCATAAGCTTACTTTGACTTTTCTACCAAAGCTGTAGCTAAGTGCAATGCTGCTCATGTGGTCTACTAGCTTCCACAAATTGTCCCAGTTTGGGACAGTCTTTGCTTTTAATCATTTTATTAGGGCCTCATACAACTCTTATCACAATCCATACATACATCAATTGTGTAAAGCACATTTGTACATTCATTGCCCTCATCATTCTCAAAACATTTGCTCTCCACTTAAGCCCCTGGCATCAGCTCCTCATTTTTCCCCTCCCTCCCCGCTCGCCCCTCCCTCATGAACCCTTGATAATTTATAAATTATTATTTTGTCATATCTTGCGCTGTCCGAAGTCTCCCTTCACCCACTTTTCTGTTGTCCATGCCCCAGGAAAGAGATTATATGTAGATCTTTGTAATCAGTTGCCCCTTTCCAACCCACCCTCCCTCTACCCTCCAGGTATCGCCACTCGCACCACTGATCCTGAAGGGATCATCCTCCCTGGATTCCCTGGATTTCCAGTTTGTCTGTACCAGTGTACACCCTCTGGTGTAGCCAGATTTGTAAGGTAGAATTGGGATCATGTTTAGGAACTAGAGGAAAGTTGTATGTTTCATCATTGCTACATCACACCCTGACTGGCTCGTCTCCTCCCTGAGACCTTTGTATGCACTGTCTTGTACAAAATGTCCATCTTTCTGATAATATGAAAAAAAGATATCCCCACTTCCCCAAACTCTATATATTTGTTTACCAATATGTCCCCTCAGGCCTAGGAAGGGCTATGAATCTAGGGAGCTCTTTTGTATACCTCAGACCACCCATATATGTGGTCACATCTGTGAAAATTAATTCCTGCTGGGAGGTCAGTAGCCATGAGATGCTATAACTTTGCTCCTTACTGTAGTCAAGAAATTGCTGTGGACTCAATCCCTGAATCCCTCAATCTCTGGCATACAGTGGAACCTGATTCATAATGATGCTGGAGGAAAGAATAAAACTCCCCCCATAGGTTTCTGAGCCTGTAATATTTACTGAAGCCCAAAGATTCATATTTATCCCATGGAGTAGCTGGAGCGTGTCAATTGCTGACCTTTAAGTTAGCAGCCCAATAGGCCAACTATCCTCATTGCCACCAAGTCTATTCCAACACATAGAAATCATATATGACAGAGTAGAAATTCCCTTTGGGTATTAGTAGTCTAAAACGTATCTCAAAAATATCTCAAAAAGACATTTGATTCATTGAACACTAATGATGGAATATTTGATGAGCTGTGAGAGGACATACGGCTATCATTCATGAGGAGAGCAAAATATCATTAAAGAGACAGGAAAGAAAGACAGGATGAAAGTTGATGTCAGAAGAGACCATGACACTTACCCCTAATCATAGAGTAGCTAAAGCAAATGGAAAGAAGAGTGAAATCAATGAGCTGAAAAGAAAACTTCAAATGACAGCTTCAGAAGACATAATCACATTTTGTAAGGAAATATACAAAAACTTAGAGTTGAACAACCAAAAAGAAAGAACACACTCAACGTATCTGAAACTGAAAGAAATGGGGTGGGAGGGAATCAAGCCTTGAGTTGCAATCTTGAGAGATTCTATTGGCAAAATATTGACTGGTGCAAGAA